GTTGCTGTGCGCCTCTGGATCGCGTGTAGAGCGGTGGGATTGTGAGGAGCTGCGCGTGCGGTCGGTCGCTTCGCCTTTGAAGAGTCTGATGTGATGAACATTTTTAATTAAAACGAGCTGCTCTATCAATTATGTGACAGTCGGCTGTTTCCAGTGTACAACGCGTCAGGAACGTTCAGGGTAAGCGAATGAAAAGTGATAATGTCAGTTTTTTGAGAGGATTGAATAGATGGAAAATCTGTTTACACATCCTGCTAGCTGGCTAATTATTTAGCAGCCGGCTTTTATAAACAATAAAAAGGAAATCGTGGACAGAGTGAAGAGAAATTATGTAAAAGCTGTTTTTTAAAACAAAGCAGTGATGTTCATAACTTTTGTGCGATTGCCATGGAGTACAGAAGCGTTCTGATGTGTATAACAGATGGGCTTGATACGATCCAATTAACTTCAGCGGAAGTCTATGGTGGCAGTATTTATAACCTGATTTAGAGATTCAAGGTGTTTCATTAGCAATTTAAATTTTATTTTGATAATTTCAGATGTGTTATATTGAATTCAGTAGAAGTCTTTGGTGACTGACTGGGAGTCTGTATAAATTAACCTGTTTTATAAATGAATGTCTTTAATTAGCGAGTAGCGAGGGAGAATATCATTTGGAATAATTTCAGATCTTTAAATGCGTTAATTTCGAATTTAATTTGACAAGATTATGGACGCCCATTCCTGCAGTAAGTTAAATTAAAAATACAATTATAAAATTAAATGCAAAAACAAACAAATACACGTAATAATAGGAAAATAAATAAAAAAGAATAAAAAAATACAATTAAAAATAATAAATACGAAAAAGTAATGCAAAAGAAATTAAAAAATTATTTTATTAAGCCATTTCTTTCTTCCTTTCTGTCTGTCGGTCTGCAAATTTGAGTCTCCATACAAGATTCCTTTGTGACTGAGTGACGGTCTGTATAAAATTCGTTTAGAAATGAATGTATTTCATTAGCCAGGGAACATCCTTTCAGATTCTTAAATGAAAATGTAATTATTTGTAATGGGCTTGATAAGATCCTATTGAATCCTGCAGAATCATGAGTTCAGTAAATAATCAGATTTTCAGGCGAGTCTCCTTTAATTAAGGAGTATCATAATTTTTTTCTCTTTCAATCAGATTTATCTGCATTTGCTGATCAAGTCATTATAATGTAGGATGAAGTCCATGTCTAAAGCCTTTTTGCCTGCTTATCTGAGAGTCTAATATCAAACATATCAAAGTATGCCTTTTGCAGAACCGTCTTTTTAATGTCTCACTTATTTGCTTTGTCTATGCTCTTTTTCAGGAATCAGTAGAGGAACATTTTCAAGCCTCAAAGAGCCCAGCTGATTTAGAAACTCAGGGTTCGTGCGTCCTGCTCCCTGCACAGTGCATGACCGACCCCTCCATAGATTCAAATGGCTTGCTGTCTGAAGGACGAGCTCTTGTGTTCCATTTGTCTGAGCATTTATCAAGACCCAGTCAGTTTCGGCTGCGAGCACTACTTCTGCCGTAAGTGCATCACTGAGCACTGGAGCAGACAGGAGCACCATGGGCCGCGAGACTGCCCGGAGTGCAGGAGGACCTTCACGGATCCCCTTCTGTCCCCGAGCCTGAAGCTCTCCAACATCGTGGAGAGGTATGCTGCTTTCCCTCTGGACGCCATCCTGAACGCCCAGAGGAACTCGTACCCATGCAAGGACCATGAAAAGGTCAAACTCTTCTGCTTAAGTGACAAGAGCTTGGTGTGCTTCTTCTGCGATGAGCCTGCCTTACACGAACAGCACCAAGTCACTACCGTTGATGAGGCCTATGAGGAAATACAGGTGTGTTTGTTTGGATTTTACGAGCCACTTATTGTTTCCATCAGAATATTATGTGATGATAATCTCACACATTTGATTTTACAGTTTTCTTACAGGTTGTAAAGCACAATTAAAAATGTTGCGTAATACATAATGTCCCAGGCCTTAAGGAAGGTCAGTTCTTAGGCTCTTGGCAGTTAGGCGATCATTACAATAACCTAAGGGTGACATAATGCGAGTTATGTAGAATCTGAAAACTTGCTGTTGTCATTGGGAGGCTTTCTGATTACCATGATCAAGAATGAGGTGTGGATTTAGTGTCCAAACCCACATTGCATTTATTTAAAACTGATGTAGGTCTGTGATTGTCTTTTGTTCATGAGTCTCATTACCATTTTTGTAAACCTCCAAATGCCAGCGGTGATCATTGTTTGTTTTTTTCTGTTCAGTTTATCTGAATGTTTGGTACAGTAGATGTTCAGAGCATCTACTCTATAGTTTCTCTTTCTCCATCTTTGCTTGGACATGCACAGGAAAATTAGTGCAGAAATATGTTTTCATAAGTTCATTCTAGATCTGTTTTGGTTTTACTATTATTATTATTGGTAGAAGCCTGTAATTTCTGTGTTTGTTTAATCCAAACAGCTGTTCTGGAGAGATATTAATGAAGCGCATCCCAGTTATTTACCTTATGAGCTTGCAAATGGTTTTGAAAATGTACTTTTTCCCCTCACTGTACTACTTTTGTAATGATTCATTTTTACTTTTAGGTTTGAGAGCTTTCAGAGCTTTATGTTATTTGCCTCAAATGCTTTTCATATCACTTATTTAGCCGATGCAGGCCTCTTTGTTAGGTTCTCTTTATTCACCGTACTTCCTGGTCTTTACAACCAACCATCGCCTGTGTGTAAATACTGTTCCTTTGAAAACTGCTGGCTGTATACTGCAAGAATAGGTTAACTTCTCCCACATTTTCCTCTGAGCTTTTCTGGTGTCTGGTGAATGCATGGAATAATGTAATGTTTAGATGGCAATGCAATTACAAATCTTAATGGACTCTATAGTTTGACATATTGGTCATTCAGTGCCTCCATCTGAGGTCTGATAACACACATCAGAGGTGGCTAAAAGTGACACTTGCGTTTAGTGCGACTTGGCCTTATCTGTAGGACTTTTTTATTGTCTGAAAGTGAGAAAGTACTTGAGATACAGATAGGAAACAGCAGTGACACTGATGCAATTAAGACAACCAAGCACAAGTGAAGTGTTTCTGTCAAACAGATTGCTTTATACACAAGCTGACTTTAATTTTACAACAATGGTGAGATGACGTTGTAATTAACATGGTGTATTTTTTGTGCTGGAAAATAGTTCACCGAAAAATTAAAATTTGCTGAAAATGTATTCATTCTCAGTCCATCCAAGATGTAGATGAGTTTGTTTCTTCATCGGAACTGATTTGGAGAAATGTAGCATTCCATCACTTGCTCATCAATGGATGCTTTGCAGTGAATGGGTGCCGTCAGAATGAGTCCAAACAGCTGATAAAAACATCACAATAATCCACATGACCCTAGTCTAAGAATTAATGTCTTGTGAAATGAAAAGCTGCTTGTTTGTAACAAATTTATCGAGATGTCTTTAACTATTGCTTTTAATATTGCTTTCTCCAGTGAAAAATTCATCTTGTCTGAATCAGGAGAGAAATATGCACAGACCAAGCACCGTTTACAGGAGATAACAGTCTGAAACTGTTCTAAACAGTTACTGAATGTTGGTGGATTTTGATTGTAGAGGACAACAGGAGATGGACTTTTTCCATTAGAGGGAACATTATTTTGTATTATGGAGTATTTTCGCAAGCGGTGACTGTTTGAGGTTAAAAACATCTTGATGGATCTGTTTCTTACAAACTTGCAGTTTTCACTTCACAAGATGTTAGTTGATGGACTGGAGTTGTGTGGATTATTGTGATGTTTTTATTTGCTACATTTGTTTGGACTTTAATACTGACGGCACCCATTCACTGCAGAGGATCCATTGGTGAGCAAGTGATGGAATGCTACATTTCTCCAAATCAGTAAGATGATGAGGACGAAAGATGAATCAACTTGGTCTGAAACGCGTCTCTCTCTGTGTGTGTGTGTGTGTGTGTGTGTGTGTGTGTGTGCGCGCGTGCGCTTTGCACGTGTGCA